TAAATTATTTATCTTCTTATTAGCAGAGATGAGTGTTGTAGCGTTTTATTGCCTCACTCATACATATATATATATATGGGGAATGGGATTTGTTAAAAGAAACCCTAGGGAATAAAATGGTTTCGCCCCTCTGGGCTTTACTGGCTTCCGCAGAGTTTCATATAATTGTAAGTGGGCCACATTGAAGTTAGCCCAACAACACTCATTCTATTTTTATGGTATTTCTTTTTTAAACTGTGTCAGTTATGTATTTTAGCCATGCTAGGCTACAAATCTAAAAGGGTAATTTACATAGTTATGGTTGATCTATATAAAATCTTCATGTATACGATATAGCTAAAGTTTTATATAATTGAAACTTTTAAGATACAAAATCATCAATAATATGGGATCTTAAAATGATCCCAAGTATCTCGCCAGTTTTACTTGTGCTCTCTCTCTCTCTCTCTCTCTCTCTGTCTGAAGACAAAAAATTCTCTCATCTCCCTCTCTTGTCAATCTCTCATGGCTTTTTTCCCCCTCAAAATCACTTCGAACAATCCTTGAATAGTTGTCCTTACAACCCCAGCCAGTGGCGGACACAGAAACTTTATAAGCCAGGGCAATATGAAACAAAAAAAACTACTATTTTTTTCAATGATTCACTTCAGTTAAAAATATTACAACTTTTCAGTCAATGACAGGAAGGTAATTTTTACGACGCGATTCCATATTTTGGAACCGATGCATTATAGCATTATTGCTAATGCTATTAAATACATCTTTCTCAATATAAACAAGTAAACTATTATTCATCCATTGATCTCCCATTTTATTGCGGAGTGGATTCTTCACGAGATTCGTAGCCAAAAACACTCTTTCTACTAAAGTTGTAGCAACCGGAAGAACTAAAGCCAAAGTTAGAAGCTTGTAGATCAATGCAAAAGTTATGCGCTTTATTGTCTCCACCATTTTCTTTGCGAGACCACCGAGTCCTTTAAGTTGAGAAGAATTAATATTCGTTCACATATCATTGATGTAGATATCAAGCTTGTTTTCAAGTGCTAACACATCTCTTTCAGAAAACTCTCTCGGATAAAATTTAGCAACGCGAAGCAACTTTTGCTTGTCAAAAGTAAAAAAAGAATCATCCGGAGTCAAGCTTGCAACACAAATGAGAAGCTCGGTGTTTACCTCATTAAAGCGGTC